AGGGCGCCACCCTGGTGGGCCCGCAGCTCCAGCCGGCCCCCCTCCTCCAGGGCCTGGGTAGATGGGCAGAAGCAGTGGGCGAGGCCTCCCAGGCAACAGGGGTGGGTGCAGGGGATGAGGCCGAGCTCCTGCCCTGGTTCCACCGGTTTCTATCTCATGGGAGGGAGGGGGGCTTCCCTCCCAGCAGCAGGAGTGGGTGCCAAATCAATGCGCGGAGGGGCACCAGCACCCACGTTTATTCCGCCTCTTTTCTCCCAAGGGTGGGAATGTGGGGTACAGTCTTTTCCCATTTACTGCGCTGCCAGGAGCCCACCCATTCCTGCCCCTTGGGGAACGCACTCTCAGTCTTTTCCAGCACTACCCCTTTCTCTCCTCCTGGCAGGCATCAGGGCTGCCTTTTAGGAGCAATGCCATCCGCGCCACGGAGCCCCTCTTGCAAGTCCCACCCATAAAGGCGGCAGGCTGTGGATGCAGGAGGTCGGTGGCCTGCCTGGGCCCTCTAGGCCCGCACCGGGGCAGGGCCTGTGGGCACACGGCCTTGCTCCCAGGAGTATCCCAAAGTCGCATCTCCCACCCGCAGGGCACCAGGGTGAGGAGGTCGGCGACGACTTGCAGAAGTAGGTGGAGGCGCAGTCTCTACGCGGGGCTTTGCAGGACTGGATCCCTTCTTCCTTGCTCCAAGCACCTCCGGGCAGGCCTAGCGAGGCACCCAGTCATACCCAGCGCCAGGCCCCGGCCAGGGGGAGCCTCCGCGGGAGGGTGGCTGCGAAGAGAGCCCTGCCCGGGTGGGACAGGCGTGTGTGCCCGGAGCGGAAAAATCTATCCAAATACACACTTGGAATCGGGGGCGCTGGTGTTCAGACCCGCAGGTCGGGGGATTTCTGGGCAGAGGAGGAAGAGCAGACATGGGCAAGGGTGTGATATCCCCCCTGGCCTCTCTCCCAGCCTCCCCCCTGCCGGCCGGATTTTCTATCAGAAGTTGAAGTGGTTTGAGGGGCCTCTGGGCGCGCAGGCTCCAGGCCGCCCTTGGTCCCCAGACATGCCGAGGCTCCCCTCCTAGGAAGGCCTCACGGGAGCCGAGAGTCCTCGACACGCGCGGGTTTTGCAGCCAGGGCAGGGGGGCCGGCGGCGGTCAGCTCCCGAGGGGTGGCGGGAAGGATGCTCGGGGCAGGAGGGATGCTCAGGGCGGGAGGGATGCGCGCGGGAGGGATGCGCGGGGACCAGGTTCGTCTGCGCCTGGTTTACTCTGCGCCTGTCCATGTCGAACCCGCGAAGCAGAGAAGTATGCTAAGAACATCAAACTTCGACCGCAATAACGAAGAGATTTCCTAGAATAAAACGCCGATTACAAAACAAAATCGGAGAAACCGAATCTTCCCGAAGTTTACATTCCGCTGCGCCGGAGCGGGGGTGGGGGGGGCCGGTTGCCCCCGACACTGTGCGCTTCTGGCCAAGCAAGGAGCAGCCTGCGCGCCGTCTACCTTCATTTTAACGAACCACACCTTGCCTTCCAGTGAGAAAAAACAAATCAGGTTTTTTTTTTTGTCGTTTAGAAAGCAATGACAGCCAGTCGGGGAAGGGCTCCCCATCCTAAGAAAGGACCTCGGAGAGAGGGAACGGTCCTAAGCAAGACTGTTTCCGAGACAACTTTCCTTTTAAACTGTCTCCTAAACAGAAATTCCGATATTTGGGGGGGCAGGGGCGAAGCACTTGACACAGTCTGTTACCGCAGAAGACCCGTGCCCGGAAGACCTGGACAGATCACGACTGACACAGAGTTACCCCGGGAAGGGCAGTGTCCCTGGTGTGGCATCCCAGGCCCCCCAGGGCAGCCAGCTTTGTCACCTCCCCAGGTGTGACTTGCCAGCCCTCTCGTCGTCCCTCCCGAGCCGCTTCCTTCTGGCTAAGGGGAGATAACTGTTTTCAGAGCACGTGGTGGTGACATGATAGGAGCGGAAAGTCTTGTAGCTCTGAAGTCTGTAAGGAACAAATGCAGAGGTTTAGTATTTCTAGACCTAGGGGGTCTGTGTCAGGGGGACTCCCAACAGGCAAGAATGGGGTCTCCAAGAAAGACTTGACATGGGGGGCCTCTTCCTGCCCAGATAACTGTCATTTCACCTCCATATTTTTGTGGAGTGCAGGGTAGTGTTTAGACCCCTGCAGAGAGAAAAAGGCTTCAGGGCCACAGAACTGCTGCTGGCTGGAGCTAAGACCCGACGCCTACTGCCTTCTCGGGATGTCTAGCCTCCTGTGACCCCCAGCAGACTACAGGTGGGGTTTCTTGCACGTTTGAAGAGTGTAGGTGAAATGGATACCACTGTCACTTGGGTTGGATAGGGAAGGGAGCCGTTAAAAATCTCCGATATTCTAACCTTCCTTGCATTTTAGGGTTGGTGCTTTTCAGTCTTCAGTCTCTGGGTCCTAAAAAAACTTTTGAGGCCTGGGATTCGATGTACATAGAACTCCTACGTGTGGACCATCAGGACACTTCAGTGACAAGGATATTTACTTGCTTGCTGCATTTTCCAAAAATCTTTTGTCCACCAACCCTCACCTACAAGTGAGACGACTGCTTTCCTTTTCCTTATGCTTCCACCTGGGCCAATTTTCTTCCCACTAAACAGACACACACACACACACACACACACACACACACGGCTCTGTTGGTGGGGCTCCTTTTAGTTACTATCTGTCCTCCTCACTGCAGCTTCTATTGGATTTAGTTATTTTTTTTCAGACAACCCAAGCACTGATTTTAGGGAGCCCACTCTATATACTCCTATATTTACTTATTTACATTTAAATCATCCCATGTAAAATGACCAAAAGGGGTAAGAGGGAAAAAAAAACCCTGAACTAAATGGGGACCCATCCCCAAGTCACTCAGAAAGAAATTGTTAGAAGTTAGAAGCAACTGCAAACGCCCCTACCCCAACTCAATCAAAACATCCCATCCGGAAAAGACTGACTTGTTTCTTTTTTCTATTGGAAATGAGCGGTAAACTGAGTTCATTTTGGCCATGTTTTCTTAGCTGACTCTGGGCTACAATCAAGCCATTTTCGGACACATTCCCATGTAGGTACCAGGGGTGCTCTGGAGGAAGCTGTCGACGCCTGTTCAGCTAATTTAGGTTTTCTTTGTCTAATTACTGTGGAGCTTAGGGAAAAGGAGCCCGGCTCAGGGCAGTAAACTGACACTCGGTCTCTGTGTGTGGTATCCAGGCAGGGTTTGATGGAAAAAGCCTGCTTCCACTCAACTTCAGGTCACTGTCTGGGGCCAGCCCCAGCCCAGCCCCCAGCCTCCCCCTTCCCACTCCTCCCTCTCCCTGGGCTTCCACAGCCTCCCCAGCACACTCAGCCGGGAGCAGATACTCCATGCGATTGATACCTCCAGGGGCACAGAGAGCTAGTGCCATCGCCCCAAAACACTGCCTTGGTTCTGTTGCAAGGCTCTTCTGGAGCTGGCCTTTCTCTGGATCCCCTACGGACCTCAGATCCTCTTGCTCCCCCCTCCCACTGCTCCCCCCCCCCCCCGCCCTGGTTCCCCAGCCCACACAGTTGCACCTTAGTCCCATCAGAGTAGACGCAGAGGTGTGCGCAGCCCAGCCTCCCTTCGGGTCCCCTGTGGGCCTCCTGCACCAGCCCCTGTGTGGCCCGGCCCGCTCCCAGGCCTCAGGCCCTCCTCCTCCCTCTTCCAGCCCCTGTCCCCGGTCAGAGTACATTTCCTCGCACGTGTAATCCAATAACTAACTGTCGGGTCTCATTGGAAGTGATTCCTCCGGAGGGCACATCCTCTCTTACTCGGGGAGGAATCAGCAGCGCCGGGTGGAGTGTTCTCCTGCCTAAGGTAGATCCGCACAGCGGGACCACACCCGAGCGGGGGGGAAGGGGGACCTAAGTCTGGGGACAGTTACACACCTACCCCTTGGGGACTGAACACCGACACCCGACCGCTATCTCAGTCCTCCCGCTCTCCTTCATCCCTGGCAGCTCCCCTTCCTGCATTCTTTTTTCCTTTTCCTTTCCTTACAAAACATCAAGTGGAAATTGGAGGGAAGTGGAAACCGACGCGAACGCGAGTCCTTCCCATTCGACTGCTTCCAGGGTCTCTAAACCTCGGCTGGGTTTCCCTGTCTGCCTCCCCCTGCCCGCCCCCCCTGCCCCCCGCCCGGCCCGGGTGTGCTCCCGGGTGCGCAGCTGTCGGGCTGCAGCTCGGCTGGGGCCGCGCGGGGCGCGCCGCGGAGCTCCCGGGCCCTGTCGGAAGGAGAGGCGGTTGCACTTTACCTTTGGGCGCGGGGCCCCGGGCGCGCAGGGCCGTCCTGTCTAAGTGGAGGTGACGGGCGGTGTCAGTGCGGGCACGGGGGGGGGCGGGGGCAGCAGAGCAGGCCGGGCGGCCCAGCCCCGTGAGCCCCGGACGCGCCGGGAGGAGCGGGGCGCAGGGCCCCCGGGGAGGGGCGCGCGCGGGGGCCGCCCGGGTGGGTACCGCCGGGGATGCGGGTCGTGCCGGGCAGGCGTGGGCCGATGCGCTCCCGCGTCCGCAGGCGGGTGGGGAGGCGAGCGGGAACGTGGCCCCGGGCGGAGCCGGGAGGCCCGGGGGCCCCTGGAGAGGGGGGGCGCGCGCGCGGGCGAGATAAGAGACGGAGGAGCCCGCCGGCGGCCCGGAGGGGGGAGGAGCGCCGCGGCCCCGCGCCCTCCCCGGGGCGGCGCGCGGCGCGGAGGGGGCAGGGCGCGGTGGGGGTGGAGGGAGGCAGCGGAGGGAGGGAGGGAGGGAGGGAGGAAGTCCGAGAGACAGAGCGAGGAGCGCTCCTGCAGGGAGACGTCGGGCTCGTCCCCGCCGCGGCCCCCGCTCGCCGCCCGGCCGGCCCGCGGCGCGCGAGAGGGATGCTCGGGGCGCTGCCGCCGGCCCGCCGCCCCCGGGAGCCGCAGCGGAGCCCCAGCGGCGCCGAGCGAGGCCGCGCAGCCCCGGCTTCCGCGCGCCCGGCCTCGCGCGCCGCCCCCAGATGAGCTCCGAGGGCGCGCCGCCGCCAGCCCCGCTCCGCCGCGCGTGCAGCCCGGGCCCCGGCGCGCTCCAGGCCGCCCTGCGGAGCCCGCCCGCCGCCGCCCTGGAGGCCGCCCCGCCGCCCGCGTCCTCCGCCTCCTGCGCGCCCGCCGCCGCCGCCAACGCCAACGCCGCCAGCGCGGCCGGCGCCTCCTGCAAGGGCGCGGGGGGCGCGGGGGGCGCGGGCGGCGCGGGCGGCGCGGGCGGCGGGGCCCGGAAGGCGAGCTCGGGGCTGCGGCGGCCCGAGAAGCCGCCCTACTCGTACATCGCGCTCATCGTCATGGCCATCCAGAGCTCGCCCAGCAAGCGCCTGACGCTCAGCGAGATCTACCAGTTCCTGCAGGCGCGCTTCCCCTTCTTCCGCGGCGCCTACCAGGGCTGGAAGAACTCGGTGCGCCACAACCTCTCGCTCAACGAGTGCTTCATCAAGCTGCCCAAGGGGCTCGGGCGGCCCGGCAAGGGCCACTACTGGACCATCGACCCGGCCAGCGAGTTCATGTTCGAGGAGGGCTCGTTCCGCCGCCGGCCGCGCGGCTTCAGGCGGAAGTGCCAGGCGCTCAAGCCCGTGTACCACCGCGTGGTCGGCGGCCTGGGCTTCGGGGCGTCGCTGCTGCCGCAGGGCTTCGACTTCCAGGCGCCCCCGGCGGCGCCGCTCGGGTGCCCGGCGCAGGGCGGCTACGGCGGCCTCGACATGATGCCCGCGGGCTACGACGCGGCCGCCGGCGCCCCGGGCCACGCGCACCCGCACGCGCACCCGCACGCGCACCCGCACCACCACCACCACCACCACGTCCCGCACATGTCGCCCAGCCCGGGCTCCACCTACATGGCCAGCTGCCCGGTGCCCGCGGGGCCCGGCGGGGGCGGCGGCGGCGGCGGCGGCGGGGACTACGGCGCGGACAGCAGCAGCAGCCCGGTGCCCTCGTCCCCGGCCGTGGCGAGCGCCATCGAGTGCCCCTCTCCCTACACCAGCCCCGCGGCGCACTGGAGCTCGCCCGGCGCCTCGCCGTACCTCAAGCAGCCGCCCGCGCTGCCGCCCGGCGCCAGCCCCGCGGCCCCCGCCGGCCTGCACGCGAGCGTGTCGTCCTACTCGCTGGAGCAGAGCTACCTGCACCAGAACGCCCGCGACGACCTGCCAGGTAACGCACGCGCGGCCCTGCGCCCCCTCCGCGCGGCCGGGCCGGCGGCTGGGGCTGGGGGCGCGCACCGGAGGGATGCGCGCGAGTGGCCCGCGCTCCTGCGCTCCCGGGGTGCGCTCCCCGGAGGGCCCCGCGCGCCGCTGCCAGCTTGGGGCGAAGGCCTGTGGCCTGCAGCGGCGGGGGGGGGGGGCGTCTGCTTCCCACTGCGCGCCTGTGTGTGCGTGTGTGTGTGTGTGTGTTTAGTTGCTTTTGCTGTGCTTTCCTCCCAAAGCAAGCGGCCCGAAGGGACGCGTCCTGCACGGCGAGGCTGCGGGTGCAGAACTGTTGCAACTGGGCAACAGTCGCAAGGAGGGGAAATGAGGGACAAACAGAGCAGAAAGCAGATTGCGCGGGGCGCGGGGGGGGGGTGACCCAGGTTCTTGCACAGGAGGGAGGTGTTAGCAGCGGAGAGGGGCACCAGCCTTCTGGGGAGCCCCTGGCCTCCCAACTCCGCCGACCTGCCTTGATGGCAGCAGTGCAGTGCGAGCAGGCCACGAGGATCGGAGGCCCACCTTGGGGCTCCCCTGAGAAGCGCTGGCCTCTTGGACCTCACTGGCGTTGCTGGTGTAAACCGTGTTGGTCGGAGATTGTGAGAATTTATTGACTTGCCAAAGGCGATGAAAGGTGGGAGGGGACAGGCGGGGTGGAGGAGGGAATTTGAATATTTAGCCAGGTTTTTTGGACGGTGGAGATCAACTCCCTCGGACGTAGGGAACCTCTCTGGGAAGCACCCAAAGGCTGCGCGGTAAAATCAGGCTAACCTGCCTCTCAGACGGTGCCGTCCTAGCTCACGCTCACCTCCTGCCTCGGTTGCAAAAGGCTCACGGGATGATGCGGACGTGAGAGGTTCGGGAATCAGCCTGCGTGCGGGCAAGAGCTTCAGGGGAGGCGGGAAGCCCAGAAATGGGCAAAAGATGTCGGTTCCCTGGACGGTGAAATTTCCCAAATAGGCCTTTTAAATGCGGGTCTCAGAGGTTAACTAAACAAAGACAGTCTCGGCAGGACCACACCGGAGAGGATTTTAGCCTGACTTAACCCACTGAGAGCAGAGTCTTGTTCAATTTTTATGGGAATTTCAACAAGTAACCAATACAGATGACCTTTCCCTCTCATTTTTTTTTAATCCCCTGGGACTGGCTGTCAATCACCGCTCAGCCCAGGCGGTGCCCACTCCCCCCACTCTGCCCGAGGCCCTCCTGGTGTTCCCCATTCCCCGTTCCCCCTCTCCGGGCGTGCTCCACGCAGTTTGAACCCAGACTCTGAGGTTTTGAAGCTGCCCTGAAACCATACCCTAAAAATTAAAAACAAAAGAGCTCGCGGGAAAGAGACTTGTGGTTCTTCTTTGAGGCCTCCCTCGCCCCACCCAACACACCCGGGTGCACCCACAAGTCCCTGAAATGCGGGAATCCAGAAACGGGACGCTTGGGAGAACCAAAACGGTGGAGCCCAGCAGGCCCAGCTCCCGCAGCGGCCTTCCCGGGGCCTTTGAGCAGAGTCTGGGGATGCCGGGGCGGCCTTGACCTGGGCATCTTTGAACAGAGCCTGGGGACACCAGGGAGGCCTTGACCTGGGCACCTTTGGGCAGAGCCTGGGGACGCTGGGGAGGCCTTAATTGGGGCACCTTTGGGCAGAGCCTGGGGATGCAGAGAGGCCTTGACTGGGGCACCTTTGGGCAGAGCCTGGGGACGCTGGGAGGCCTTAATTGGGGCACCTTTGGGCAGAGCCTGGGGACGCAGAGAGGCCTTGACTGGGGCACCTTTGGGCAGAGCCTCGGGACGCCGGGGAGGCCTTGACTGACACCGAGCACCACCGGGCAGCTCTGCCCCTCCTTCCCCGGTCCTGGTCAGCATCCCCGGCGAGTGAGAGGTGGGGGCTGAGCTGGAGCGGGCTGGGTGCGGGCGCCCGCGGGCGTGGAGGAGCGCGCCGCCCTGGGGTCCGCGGCCGGGAGCGCGTCTGGCCGCGCGAGGAGCGCGCAGGCCCGGGAGGAGCGCGCAGGCCCCGGGAGGAGCGCGCAGGCCGAGCAGGCCCGAGGCCAGCCGAGGCTGCAGGAGCCGCCTCCCTCCCCGCACAGCCTCGCGGGCTGCCGCGTCCCGCTCCCGAAGGGCGGCCAAGCCCCGTGCCCGGGGAGGCCCCGCGCCCCTCGCTCAGGCCCGAGGGCCTTTGTCCCCCTGGTCCCCTAACAGCTGGCGGCGGCCTCGGGGGGCCCTGCGAGCTCCAGCTCTGGGCCGCGGAGCTGGCGCGGGCCGTGCTGCGGCGGGATGGGCCCGGGCGGCCGAGAGCGGGGCCTGGAGCGCCCCGGGGCGCGTGACCCGCTGCTGCCCTCGGAGAGCCCCGCGGTGCCCCTGACGCCGCCTGCCCGGTGTCCCCGCGCTCCCGCTCGGAGACGCGCCGGCCGGCCCAGGACGGGGGCCCGGGAGCCAGGCGGGGCAGGGGCCGACCTGCGCTGGGACTGCGCGGCATGAGGCTCCGGGAAAGCAAAAGCAAAAGTGGGCGGCGGGGGATCCGGCTGGGGGCCTGGCGGGGAGCGGCCGAGAGAGGGACGGACAGCCTTCCTGCGCCCTGCAGGCCCGCCCGCCCGGGGTCCCCGCGGCCCGGCGCCTCGGGGTGCGCACCGCTGCGCCCAGGGCACCACGGAGGGCATCAGGGCCCCTGCAAACCCCGGCTCCTCGACGGGAGCCCCGACCTCGGGGACCTCGGGCCGCCCGCACTTCCCTGCGGAGGGACTGCTTTCCATCACCGCTTTCTGGCACGACGGGTATCCCCCGCGCAGTGCGGAGCCCCTCCGACCGGCCTGGCGGTGTGGAGAGGCGGGGGCAGGCAAGGGAGCCGAGGTGCGCAGACTGGCGCTGCCTCGGCCGGGCCTGGCCTCTGCTGGGCGCCTCCCCCCTGGCCTGCGGGATCCAAGCAGCGACCCCGGCCCCTCCTGGGAGGGACCCAGGCTGCACCTGGGGCCGCCTCCAGAGGTGGGCTTGCCCTGGCAGGTGTGCAGCACAGGCAGAAGCGCGGCGGCTCCTCCCTTCCCTCCCCGGGCACAGCGAGGCCTGAGTTACACTAGGACCCGAGGGGTGATGCCCGTCCTCGGGGCCGGATGGCTGTTTCTGAATTTTTTCTTTTCTTCCTTCTTTCAGTGGGACTGCCTCGATACCAGCATCACTCGACCCCAGTGTGTGACAGAAAGGATTTTGTCCTCAACTTTAATGGCATTTCTTCTTTCCATCCGTCTGCGAGTGGACCCTACTACCACCACCACCACCACCAGAGCGTCTGCCAGGATATCAAGCCCTGCGTCATGTGAATGGAGGGCCCTCTCTGCTGTCCCCGCTGCGGGGCAGGGTGGCCGGCCGTGGACCCCGCACCACGCGCCCATGGCACCAGCAGTAAGTAGCACGCCCGTCACCCAGCCAGAGCGCCCAGCCCGCGCTGGCCGGCACAGTCGCCTCCCATCGGTAGAAGGACAGCCCCTGGCAAAGCAGGGCCCCCAGCACCCACACCAGCAGGCTCCCGACGGAGACAGCCAGCTGGGAACTCGGCCTTTTAGCCGGGCCGGTAAAAAGTCACCACGTGAAAAACATAAACATGTAACTCTGGGATCTTCATTACCTTCAGTCATCAGGGTCTGAAAAACGCAGGTTGTGTGTGTGTGTTTTTCTTGGTCTATGAAAATTTTTGTGCTTTTCCAAAAGGCAGTGCTAAGCACCAGACTTCAAGGAAGCCTCATCTTGTTGCCTAGCCGAGGAAGAGAGTTCTGTTTCTCCAGACACTAAGTCTGGACACAGGTGCCAAAGAACATTATTAAGAAAGTATTTAGAAGCAACGTGTCTAGTTTAAGAAAGCGGTTTTCAAGTATTGTGACAATACAACGTTTTTTTTTACAAGGTTGTTTTCTACCACCATATTTTAAAGATATTTTTATGATTTTTCGTGTATACTCACACTTCGCTTGTATTTTAAAAGGAGGATATATTTGCACTTATGTATACTTTTACAGTTTGCCAAACTATTTTGATGTAAAATTTTTTCAATAAAATATATATAACAAATAGCTGCGTTAGGGATCTGTTTCCTCCGCGGGCAATCCTGGGATGACCAGGTTCTCTTCTCCTCCACCAGCCAGCAATGCAACTCTACACTGTTGGGCTTTTTTTTTTTTTCCAAGTTGTATAATTGACGTGGTGTGGGGTCTGTGCCTTGAGTAACACAGGCCAGGTTCTGATTGTGGGTCTTCTCAGGAGAGAAAGCGAAGAAGGAACTTTTTCTGTTCTTTCTTTCCTTCGCCCTGGCTCTCTCTGGCTAAACAAAAACCAGAAGGTGAAAGAAACTTAAAAGCCAACCAGGCAAGATAATGAAGGCATGAGTCTGATTTGAGGAAACCGAGTTTTGTGCCCCCTTTTGTTCTCTTTCCTGTGGCCAAGGAGGGTTTTGCTTTTTGCTCCTTCCTCTTCCCCAGCGGCAGGGAGTGACCGGCAGGGTGGAAAGTCGCCACCACGGGCTGAGCTGAGTGGTGGCCAAAGGGTCGGTGCCCAAAGTACGGGACCGGCTCCCCCTCGGCCACTCACAGTTTTGCGGGATGCTGATGGTGTTCTGTGGTGGGTGGCGGTGGTCAGAGACTGAGGAGTCCCGAGGGAGGTGGCTGTGGAGCGGTAATGGGGGTTGGGCCTGGGAGGGTAACTGAGGCAGGTACCTTCCTCCAAAGGTGCTGTCTGTCCCCACCCCCAAGTCAAAGCTTGTCTGAGACTGCCTGGCAGGAGCAGCCCACCCACCCCCACCTCTGCCCTTCCCCTCTTTGACCGAGGCGGCTCCTTCAGGGATCCCCGCAGGGCCCGGGCTCCACATCCCAAGCTTCCCCAATCGTCGGTGATACCAGGCCCGGCTGCCAAAGCTCTGGGTTCAAAAGACGGACCATAAAGCCAACCTGGCAGCAGGACTGCTGTCTCCGCAGCCCGCCCTCCTCTGACCAGCCCTTCCAAATCCTGGGCAGCCCTGGCAACAGTCGATTTGAGCAGAAACAGGAAGGTTCTCAACCCGCAGTCATCCTTTCCCCAACCTACCTACCGAGGGCCGAGGGCCGAGGGCCAGTATTCTGTTTTGTGTTTTTGCTTTTGCTTCTGAAAACTCACCTTTGTTTCTCATGCCCTAAGAGGCCTCCCCCCACCCCCGTCGGCTGCCAGGCACGTAATACCACTCCGCAGATATCTCACACAGGAGGGTTTTGTACTCGGAGTAAATTTAAGTGCAAAGACGGACGGTCTCGTTAGTAAAACATCTTGTTTTCAAAAGTCTTAACCGTCTTCCTAATCCTTAGATTTCCTTTCTGTATTTCCCAAAAATTAAGCAGTGATTTAAACATGTATTTTTGTGTCTCCATTATCATATTTGCAGTCACACAGGGCTTTTTTCCCCTTTTTATACTGAGCTACACAAGGGCCTGCTATAAATTATGAAGTCAGTTTCAGAGTTTGCTCCGACCACAGTGCTGTGTTTACATTCCTTCCGAGGCAGCCGGCATGGTCGTAATTTATATCCTAAACACTTGAACGTAACTTGTTTATACAGAGAATGACAGGACCTCAAAGACAGAAACGCGGAGTCTCTGGGGTGCCGGCTTTGGAAGGGCTGGCGTGCCCCCTAGTGGCGCAGGCCCCGGCACGCAGCGATGGGGTGGGGAACAGCTGGGCAGCCCCATGCATCTTAGGGTGCTTCTCCACGTCCCTGCCATGTGGGGTGTTGGTCCTACTCACAGATGTGCAGCAGGTCATGGCTATCAAGGGTCCGACCCACGTATTCTGATTTTGGTTCATTTCACGTCTTTCTCTTCATGAGGACTAAGCTCTACGCCCAGTCCCATGCTCACGACCCTGAGATCAAGAGTCCCATGCTCTGTGACTGAGCCAGCCAGGCTGCCCCCATTCTACTTCTTTTAAAGTCTCGGTCAGATATAAGAGCTGCCATCAGCATTGCAGATACAGGCACAATGGCAATCTTCACTCTGAATCAGAACCACTTGGAGGGGGACCCAACCCCCCACTCCTGGTTCTGATTCAGTCTGTCCGGGGAGGGGCTCAAAAGTCCTGATAAGTTCCCAGGCCATGCTGATGGCGCTAGTCCAGGAACCACACTTTGAAAACCTTACAGGCTTAGAAAGGCAGTCCGAATAATGGATAAAGGTTCAGATGGGTGGGTGTTGAGGCCACTCCATTAATTCGTTAAGGAAAGATCTAAAGGGTTTTTTTTTTAATTTTTATTTTTTATTAATTTTTTAAGATTTTATTTATTTATTCTTGAGAGAGAGAGAGAGAGAAGCAGAGGGAGAAGCAGGCTCCATGCAGGGAGCCCGATGCGGGACTCGATCCCAGGTCTCCAGGATCACTCCCTGGGCCAAAGGCAGGCGCTAAACTGCTGAGCCACTTAGGCCACCCTAAAAGTTTTTTTTTTTTAAACAAAACCAAAACAAAACAAACAAAAAAACAGTTTATCCACCCAAATACCTCTGTGATTGATTCCTGGGAAAATGCAAAGTCTAATTTTGAACGCTGCACCTGAAAAAAGTGTCCACAAAAATGAGGTCTCGTGTTTTGTTCCAGTAAAGTTTGCAAAGAAAAGTCAGGCGGGATCACTAACGTCTACCTGCCTCAGCAGAGCAATAAGTCTAGGCGCTTGCACACAGTATGATATTGGAATTCTCCAGATGAAAGGAGGTGGTGATGGGAGCAAGCAGGAAAAGAAATCTTTTATTAGTTATGAAATCTTTTAAGAGTGGGACACAGAGAAGGCAAAGAAAGGAAGCTGTGATGTCCGTGTATAGAAATAGTGATTCCTAAACACAAATGGGCTGGGCAGAGAGAAGAGAGAGACTGAGAGATAGAGGGAGAGAGGAAATAGGAAGGTGGGAAGGCCTGGGGCCCAAGGAGGGAGGGAGGGACAGAGGGACGGAGGGAGGGAAAGAAACAGAGAGGAAAGAAGGAGAGGTCTGGAGAGGAAGAGTCTCAGAAAAAAAAAAAAATCTCATGAATCCGTGTCCCAAAGCTCGCCAAGTAGCCTTTGAAGCTGGACTCCCATCCTTGGAGGCAGCTACTATCTGTGCAAGACACTGACTGCAAAGCCCACGTACTTGTTTTACTTGGCTTCTGCCTGGATTCTGGGGCAATAAGTGAATTCTCTAGCTGTGCATGCTCGAGTTTTCTGAACTGCTGCAGCAACATCTAGAGAATTTAAGGAGAACGACCTTGATCTACGTCTTGGAAACCGGAAGTCTGATTTCTGAGGAAAATTTTCAGGTGCACAGTATAGACATGCCACTGGATATGCTATGGAATGGAATTAGCACACCCATCCCGAAGGGGGAATAACTGTCCGCTGGATTCGCATACACCTAATTACTCGGCATTATGGCGATTAATTCAAAACAGGCACCAGCTTATTTAGAATGGAAATATATTTTAATATATTATATCAGAACGGAAATACATTTTACCAAACCTGCCCCTGTGAAACACTATCTGAGCAAGGGAAAACACCGCCAGAGAGGGCCACCACACATGGGCGTCAAGATCTTCGGGGGGGGGGGAATGAAAGTCCTGGAAGCTCTTCTGGAGTTCAGAGTGGCCTGAGTCCACAGCAATCCACCTGATAAATATTCAGGTCTCCAGTTCCCGAGGTGGGGGGGGCGGGAGGGGGAACGTGTCCACCCCAGTGCTGATTCGTCAGTGCTCCTGCCTAAGTGTGTGTGGGAGGGAGAGAGGGGAGGCTGTGTCCCCAACAACATTCCCTCCAGAAGGATGGCATCCTATTCTTGCAGCCTGGGAGCTGCGGTCTGACAGAGGCAAAGAGGTGCAGGAGCCTGTGGCCAAGCCAGGCAGTGGCTTGTCCCCCAGACACCTCCGTGGCCCCTCCAGGGACTCGCGGAGCACCTGCAGCGTCCCGCGCTGCTTCAAGTTAGCCGAGCTGGGCCCCAGGGTGTGGGGAGAAGAAAACCTCCTCCCTCCCCTCCCTCTCCTGGTTGCCATCTCCTCTCCCATCCCTGAGAGCAATCTCTCATCCACAGAGAAAATAATTAATCCCTCCCCATGGGGGGGCTCTGGCTACTACCTGCAGACTTCATCTGGGACCTCCCACTCCCATCTCCTAAGCACGTCCCCCTGATGCCCCTGCACGTCTACGGGCCTCTCTTTGTCACCCTCACTGTGTTTTACCGTCAGGGACGTGGAGGCTAGGCCCAGGAGCAGCCTGTGGCCGTGGTCTCCTGGGGCAGCCGGTGTGCGTCTCCGTCTCCACTGTTGGGGGCCCTGTGAGCGGCGGAGAGCCACGTGCTCTGCTCTGTCTACGTGGCCTCACGTCATCCAGGCTCCCCTAATCTGTTCACGTCAGCACCAAGGAGACTGGGGCAACAGTAAATGACGGGGGGGGGGGTGAGTGGATGAGCCCCGGGATGAGCAATGCCAATGCCCCGTCTTCAAATGAAGGAAAGAAACTTCCATTAGGAAAGAATCACTTAAAAAAAAAAAAAAAAGGAAAGGATCACTTTACTGGATTGAAATTCCTGGTAACTAGGCCACTACTTGGAATCCGAATAGGGATTCGGAAGACCTCAAACCAGCAGCGTGCTCCCACTCCGGGGGCCCAGCAGCCACTTGGAGAGGCAGCGGGTAGAGGGAGGCAGGGGACTTTGAAAACCACCCGTGGCCATCCCATTGCCCACGCGGCCAGCCCAGTGGGCTCCTGGGAGGGCGGCCTGGGCCGCAGGGGTCTTGAAATCCCCCACAGGGCTTCTACTGCTCAAGCGGAGAGGGACAACTGTGAATGAACGTGACCTTGGTTATGTCCCGCAGAGGTCTCTAGAGGAAGGTGTTCCTGACACAGGCTTGCTGGTTTGCAGACGAGGAGGGGCTCCGCCAGCTGTTTGCCTTGTGTCTGCACTAGTTTCTCCGTGAAGCACGTGTCCTGCCCCTTGGGGTAGGTCATGGCACCTGGACAGCTTTGGCGAAGCAGCT